TTGAGCCCTTATTTTTGCCATTCTTAAAACAGAGGCTGAGATTTTGGCACCAAAAGAAAAAGCTGAAAAAGAGCCTCTGTAAACACTGAGAAGAAATTAAAATGAAACCCACTGCATCCCAAGCCAATCCTTTAGCTACTCTGCTGCAAGGCAGAAACAAATTGAAAGAGAGTTTCTGTTGGGGAGCTCAGGAAATTTTGCCCAAAGTTTGTTGTGAACAGAAAAAAAAAAATTACAAAACAATTGGGAATAGGGGGCATGGCAATTTTTAATAAGTAGAAAAACACAGTGGGAGTTCAACTTTTTACCAGTTTTTGAGTACAGACAAAGGCTTCCCAGCTGTCAAATTGTATTCACCATGAAAATTTGGTGGTAGGATAGTAAAAAAGAAAAAGCCAATGTGAATATTGTGAATGAAGTGTTTTGTTTTGTCACATTCTTCTAGTTCCACTTGTGTGTGAAGTTTGGCATATTCCAGATGGGAGCAAACACAATTGAAATAGACTAAGGAGCAAAGCGAAACACATTCATCACTTCATAGTACTTATTTTGCCTCATTATAATCATATTCAAAACACTATGCTGTAGTTTAATTTAAACATATCAAATGTGACAGCTCTGAAATAATGAAAACAACTCTGCTTTCATGGTTATGGTACCATGAAAATGCATGGTGAAATTAATCATTTATAATGAAGCAGGTTAATGACAAAACGAGTTAAAAATGTGTTTCTTTTTTCATATATATTTAATAGGCTCCAAATAAAGACCATCCTTTCCTTCCTTATATCAATGTTGCTTTGCTTCTTACAACTGAATATAGAAATGGGGCAGAGTTTTTTATTTCAAGTCCAGTTTATCATAAAAACTGACCTCTTACTGTTTACAGAAGTGTAGGATCTAAAAACTTCAGGTAAAATCCTGTTTCACTTTTTGGCACCTAAATCAAACTTACAGAGCTGGGCAAGTATGATTTTTGGCCTTTAGTCACAGTTTAATATAGTTGTACCTATGAAGCTGTCCTGTTCTACCCTTCCTCATACACTCAAAATGCTGTATTATAGCCACATAAACTCAGGGTTGGAATAGTATTGCCCAACTGCAAGTGTAATGATGTGTGAGCCCCTGAAACCTCAGTCAGAGAAAAGCATAAGTAGCCTATGTTTTACACCATAGGAGGAAAACTCACCCACTTCTTTATCCAGTAATTAGGTCACTTTCCTAGGGTGTGGAAGGCTCAGTTCTAGCATCACTACCCAGAAAGTGTTTGTAACTCACTTTCTCCCTTCCTTATAAAGGGCTCTGACCACCAGACTGTGGGCTGGGAATTTCCTGGAGTACATTCCAGGTGTCTTTTTGAAGCTGGCCCACTGGGCAGTCAAGATAGGAAGAAATATGGGGTTAGGAGCAGAACAAGCCATAGCGAGCTAGACATTACTGTTAACGGGTGGAGACTCTAGGTTCTTATCCCAAGGATGCAACAACTATTTCACTATGCAATATTAAATGCATAGTGCATAAATGCCATTAAGACTAGGGACCAGATACAATGGCTAAGTAGCAGGGGCTAAATTTAAATAATGTTGTGTGCTCCCAGCAACTGTTTAAAACAAACATTATTTTTAAGAATGTAAAAGCATAACTTTTTTTTAAGTGCCATGGGCAAATATAACACCTTTCCAGGTTTACTGATTTATTCAGATGTCTAGGAGTTAGCCCCTGCAGATTGCTAACCATTTTAAAACCAAGCTAGAAAATAAAATTCAATTCCTCCAGATTTCTTTCTTGTTTTTTCAGGAAAGGGGGAGGATGAGATGTTCAGCAGATCAGCAGCCATCCTGGTTTTCTCTGATCTCAAAATCAATCCCCAATTTTCAGTTTTAAAACAGTAACCCCAAATCCACATTTTTCCACGATTAAAATGAAACACCACTATATATATAGAGTGGTGTTTCATTTTAATCGTGGAAAAATGTGAGCCCTGGATGCCAGCCAAAAGGCTGGCAGGGAGCACTAGTCCAGGAGACAGCTGTCCCCTGGCAGCAGGGAGTTCCTGGCCCCAGCCCCCAGCTCACTGTTAGCTGCCCCACTGGCAGATTGGGACAGAGGGATGGGACTTACCGCACCCATGCACCCTTTACCCCACCCTCCACAGTTGTAGGGCAGACGCTGTTCTTTGCTAAGCTCCATGAGTGCAAAGCTGGGTGGGGAACAGGCTGGGGAGCCAGAGAGCATGGAGTTGGATGGGGAACAGGTTCCCCAGGCCTGCCAGCATGGAGCTCCCAGCACCAGCTCAGGCTGGGAAATAAGGATTTCCCAGCACCACAATCATGGAGCTGGCGCTGGGAGATAAGGACCTCCCAGTGCCAGCCCTGCTGTCGCAGAACTGGAGCTGGGAGATAAGAGTCTCTCATCCTTCACACCCCAAATTGCAATCTTGGAGTCGGGGGTTTGGAGCTTCCTGCTGCCAGGGCAGGTGGACATAGTCCTCATCCCAAAGCCTGCCCTGGCAGCAAGCAGCTCCTGTGGGTAGGGAGCAATTTCTCACACTCTGGTGGCTGGCTGATGGGGAAAAGATTTGCTCCTGGTCAGGCATCTACATGAGCGCTAATGCTAAATCTGTAATTGCAAGTAAATTTGTTACTTGCATTTGCAGGTAGCAAATTTACTCACAATTAGTGAGGTTTACTACACAGTAAGCATGTGTACATGTAGATGCACATGCTTACTGTGCAGCAAATTATGCTACTGCACAGTAAAACATCTTATGTAGTTGCACCCAGTGGGTGGAAAAGAAATTAAACTTTGTGAGGTTGAATAAAGTTGTCTGGGGTGGGAGGGTTAAACAAACAACAAGAGTGCTAATAGGTTGGAAGCTCAAGGAGAATTGTTAATGAAGGATATTGTCTCTTTCAGAGAAGGAAATTGAAGATATTTCTCAAGCACTTTTATTTGTAGCAATTATTCTCCAAGGTGTGAATAGGGAATAAGGTTTATTCTGCCTGGTACTAAGCAATCTGGTGTGGACCAACAAAGCATTAAACTATGTGCTTAACTTTACGTACATGAGTTGATAGAGTGACTTTAATAATAATGTTAAGTAAATAAATAAAATTAAGTTAATCAAATTAAATAATAGTAAAAATGGGATGATGCAAACATGCTAAGAATTCAGGGAAAGGAGGCGAATATTTTTCATGTAGCACTGATTAGAAGTTTCTAACTGATCGATATTCACTGACTTTTAACCAATTAAACCCAGGTTTCATGTCTTCTGCTGGTGCTTTACTGCAGGGTCCAAGAAGATTTTTTTGCTTTCTTTCCTGAAAGTCTAGCTTACCTTCCTCTTTAAACATTAAAGAATGGCCATAAGTTGAGATGGGTGTTTTGATGTCCTTAGTGGTCCTGAGAAAATTTCAGGTTCCTGGTGTTTCTGCTCACATGCTGCAGGTCAAATGAATTAACAGATTGAGGGTCAAAAAGCAATAGTTGAGATTAAAAAGGAGTCTTTTTTTCTTTTCCTGCAGCATGGGGTATGACCTACTTTTTGGGACCACTATAGCTACTATTGCAGGTATTCAAGGAATTTGGCAATGCCATGCATCTCTTCTAATCTCTTCCTATGGCACACTATATGTTTTTAGACTTTTGAATTTGTACCAAAGATCAGGTGAAAAACCTGCTCTGATTGCCTCTAACTGTAACTTGCCACTAGAAGCTTGGTGAGCAAGAGCAGGGCTAGGAGCTAGAGAAAGGACAGACTTGCTGCTCCTGCTGGCCACAGTGAATGCTACAGCCCTGGAGTGCCTGGCAGCTGTGTTGTCTCCCATTGCCACTCACACCCGCTGCTAGTCCTGGAACAGCTGATGTTAGCAGTGCTGGGGAGGCAGTGCCCCCTTACTCAGACTGGCTCACTCTGCTCCTAGTGGGAGCAAGTGATGGTGGGAGGTATTGCAGCCACCAGGCACAATGACTCCAGGGGGCCAAGGTGCTGTGCCTGGCCCCTTTGTGCCCCAACATCCCTTTTCATCCACTGTGTTCTGGGATGCTGGAGTATTTCAACTTGAGCAGGAAATCTATGGAGAGTGTCCACAAGTTAATGGAACAGGCCAAAATTAGGCAGATTAGAGATAAACCTGCCCTGGAGTGGTGTAATGTTAAGCCAAATAATGAGTGCTTTAAGCCACTCAAAAGTTGTTAACATGTAGCCAGTTCAGGGATTCAGTGCTCCAGAACCTGCCTTAACTTGCCGTGTAACAAGACCCTTAGTGTTTTATACAGCTTGCTTGGAGTGCTTTGGGGCATGAGAAGGTGAATACCACTGATACCACTGCAGACCCTCTATATATATATATA